ACTACAGAAGTAGGATTGCCCAACCTTCCTTCCAAGGAGTGGCTGGTGGGTTTGAACCGCCAGCCTTCTGGTTAGCAGTCAAGTGTTCCTTAGAAAGCTGGAATTGGAGATACCTTTGGTCCAGCAATCCCATTACTAGGTATATGTCCTAGAGAGGTGAGATGCCAGGACAGGAACAGATATCTGCACACCTATGTTCATCGCAGCACTATTTACAATAGCAAAAAGATGGAAACAACCTACATGCCCATCAATAGAAGAGTAGATGACTAAACTATGGTACATACACACAATGCAATGCTATGCAGCACTAAAGAATAATGTAGTGTCTGCAAAACACAGCATAACATGGATGAACTTGGAGGATATTATGCTGAATGAAATAATTCAGTGACAGAAGGACAAATATAGTGTTAGTTCATTGCTGTGGAGAGTCAAGGAAAGGTTTATATATGGAGGGAAACTTTCTTTGTTGGTTGCCAGGGGTGGGAAGGGAGGGGAGGGAACATTGTAGGGGGAAAAAAAAAATTCATTGACCCATGTCACTTTAGTTTTGTGTATTTCACTGTACATAAATTATATTTCAATAAAATGAAATTAAAAAAACCTCCAAATTCCTAAATGATACATAGTTATACTGCAGTTTCTATTTTTTGTAACTACTATTTCTACTGCAAAGACTCAAACATACTGATGGGCACTTTTTTAAGGTCATTTCAGGTTTTTATATGATGCACTGTATCTCCTGTGTTGTTGTTAGGTGCTACTGAGTTGTTTCCAAATCATAGCAACCCTACGTACAATAGAACGAAACTGCCCGGTCCTGCACCAGCCTCACAATAGTTGCTATGCTTGAGCCCATCATTACACCCACTGTGTCAATCCATCTCACGAGGGTCCGCCTCTTTTTGCTAGCCCTCTACTTCATCAAGCATGATATCCTTCTCCAGGGATTGGTCCTGCCTAATAACATGACCAAAGTATTAGAGCCAAAGTCTCACCATCCTTGCTTCTAAGGAGCGTTCCAGCTGTACTTCTTCCAAGACAGATTTGTTGATTCTTTTGGCAGTCCATGGTATATTCAATATTCTTCACCAACACCATAATTCAAATGCATTAATTTTTCTTTGGTCTTTCTTATTCATTGTCCAGCTCTCACATGCTTATGAAGCCACTGAAAATACCATGGGTTGGGTCGAGCATACCTTAGTCTTCAAAGAGACATCTCTGCTCTCTAACACTTTAAAAGAAGACTTTTGCAGCACATTTGGCCAGTACAATATGTCATTTGATTTCTTGAGTGCTGTTTCCATGGGTTAATTGTGGATACAAGTAAAATGAAATCCTTGACAACTTCAATCTTTTTGATCAAGGTATTGCTGATTCGTACAGTTGTAAGGATTTTTTGTTTATGTTGAAGTGTAATCCACACTGAAGGCTGGAGTCTTTGATCTTCATCAGTAAGTGCTTCAAGTCCTCTTCTCTTTCAGTAAGCAAGGCTGTGTTGTCTGCATATTGCAGGTTGTTAATTAGTTTTCCTCCAATCCTGATGCCATGTTCTTCTTCATACAGTCCAGATTCTTGGATTATTTGCTAAGCTATAGATTGAATAAGCATGGTCAAAGGGTTCAACCTTGATGCACACCTTTCCTGATTTTAGCCATGCAGTATCTCCTTGTTCTGTTCAAACAACTGCCTCTGGCTCTATGTACAGGTTCCTCATAAGCACAATTAAATGTTTTGGAATTCCCATTCTTCTAAATGTTATCCATAATTTGTTACGACCCACACAGTGAAATGCTTTTGCACAGTCAATAAAATACAGATAAACATCTTTCTAGTATTCTCTGCTTTCAACCAAGACCTAGCACAATGGCATCACTTGTTTCATGTCCTCTTCTGAATCCAGTTTGAATTGCTGGCAGTTCCCTATGTACTGCTACAACCATTTTTTAATTACTGTCAGCAAAATTTTACTTGTGTTTGGTATTAATGATATTTTTTTATAATTTCCATATCCTATTGGATCACCTTTCTTTGGAAGGGGAACAAATATGGATTTTTTCCAGTCAGCTGGCCATGTAGCCGGTCTTCCAAATTTCTTGGCATTGATGAATGAATACTTCCAGTGTTGCATCTATTTAGTGAGACATCTTAACAGTATTCCATCAATTCCTGGAGCCTTGTTTTTCTCCAATGCCTTCATTTCAGATTGGACTTATTCCTTCAATACTATTGATTGTTGATTATATGCCACCTTCTGAAATGGGTAAATGTCAATCAGTTCTTTCCAGGGTCAGGCTTGGTTAGTACATTATCTCCTACAACCTCATTATTCACTTGCATAACTACTAAAAGAAACTAATGGTCTGAGTACCCTTCAACATGTTACTTTAATAGAACATTTAACAGTAAGTAGTTACAAGGATACTGTTCTAGAAATAGATGCATACACATGAACTCCAACCAAGACTGAGCCTGACAAAGTCATTAACCTATATCACTAACATTTAGGGGAAGACCAACATATTACAGACAAAGTCTGAGTTTTAAAACAGTCTGGTGCTCTGGTGACACTGTGGCTGCTAACCAAATGGTCAGTAGTTTGAACCCACCAGCCCTCCGCAGGAGAAAGATGAGGCAATTTGCTTCTGTAACAATTTACAGCCTTGGAAACTCTATTGGGCAGTTCTACTCTGTCCAATAGGATCACTATGAATCAAAATTGATGCAATGGCAATGGGTTTAGTTTTGTTTTTTTGGTAGATGCTTTCTAGTCATCTGTTAACACAGTGAAAAGATTCAGGCTGCTTCTTTACACAGCACCATTCAGACTACCCAGAGCACATGCACGACACACACAACTGAGCAGAACTACCACAGTGGAGGGACTGCTCTCCAGAAGCCAGATCCCTCTGAGCTGTGCCATGGAGAGTGAGGAGCTTACTTTGAAGAAGGCCTCCATAAGCATCTGGTCAGGGTGCAGGTCCTTCCACTGGAGTTTCTGGTATGCACTGTGGAATGCGTACAGAATGAACTCTGGCATTCTGGGTGCTGTACATGCTTCACAATAATGCATCAGGTGTAATCGCAGGGCTCCTTCGTCACCTGGCAACAGCTTATCTAAAATTGCAAGAAAATATAGCTGAAGACCTTTTGAGTTATCTTAATAAACACATAACAATGAATACTCACACAAAACACAAATTTGAACTAAAAGTCTAAAAATTAAAGTTCCTAATATTTATACAATTTCAAAGCTTTTCAGATTAATAAGAAAGATTATAAGAAAAAATTGTACTTGTAAGGGCAACTTGGATGAGCATTTGATGTGTAGAGATGGTAGGGATGATCTCGTTTGCTCAAAAATGTCTAGATGTATGGCTTCTTAATTCAAATACACTCCACAGCACCAACCAACTCCAGGTGTCCCTTTAGTCTGTTACCCTCATTGCACACGCTCAGTCTCACACACTCAGCACTTTCCTCATTTGGCACCATGGGAGAGCCAATTGTCCTCAAATGGAAATGTTCTAAATGGCTAAAACGGAACACTTTGTGCAGTTTCTATTAGATTATTAATTGTCAATCATGTAAATCATTCTAAAATGAATCTCACATTCTTCTACAGCCTTTACCATGCAGTACCATTCTCAACCAGTATCAATTATTTAATGTCTTCAAGGGCTAGTGGAGACATTAAAAAGATAAAAAACAAACTCACTGTCATGGAGTTGAATCTGACTCATAGCGACCCCTCCTTAGGTTTCTGAGGTGGTATCTTAACAAAAGGAAAAGCTAACTCCTCAGAGTAGAGACAACGTTAATGATATGGATAAAGTAAAGCTTTTTTTAGGGACCTCCACTGGCTGATGTGGCATGACTCAAAATGAGTAGAAACAGATACAAACATGGAATATAAGAAGCATGAATCTAGGAATATTGGAAGTTGTCAAAAATAAAATGGGATGCATAAAGATCAATATCCTAGGCATTAGTGAGCTGAAATGGACTGGTTTTGGCCATTTTGAATCAGACAACCTTATGATCTACTATGATAGGAATGACAAACCAAAGAGGAATGGTGTGGGATTCATCATCACAAAGACTATTTCAAGATCTGTCCTGAAGTACAATGCTGTCAGTGATAGGATAATATCTATATGCCTACAAGGAAGACCAATTAATACTATTATTCTAATTTACATACCAACCACCAAAGCCAAAGATGAGGAAATTGAAGATTTCTACCAACTTCTGCAGTTTGAAGTTGACCAAACATGCAATCAACATGTGCTGATTATCACTGGTGACTGGAAAGCAAAAGTTGGAAACAAAGAAGAGCCATTGGTAGTTGGAAAATATGGCCTTGGTGATAGAAATAATGCTGGAGGATCGTATGACAGAATTTTGCAAGACCAATGACTTACTCATTGCAAATACCGTTTTCCCACAACATAAGTGACGACTACACACATGGACTTTACCAGATGGAATACACAGGCATCAAACTGACTACATCTGTGGCAACAGGCAATGGGAAAGTTCAATGTCTTTAGCCAAAACACGGTCAGGAGCTGATTGTGGAACAGACCATCAACTGCTTATATGCAAGTTCAACTTGAAGTTGAAGACAATTAAAACAAGCCCATGAGAGCCAAAATATGATCTTGATAATATCCCTCCTGAATTTAGAGACCATTTAAAGAACAGATTTGATGCACTGAACACCAATGACCAAAAACCAGAGAAATTGTGGGCTGACGTCAAGAACATCATCCGTGAAGAAAGCAAGAGGTCATTAAAAAGACAAGAAAGGAAGAAAGACCAAAATGGATGTCAGAAGAGACTCTGAAACTTGCCCTTGAGTGGAGTGTGTGTGTGTGTGTGCGCGTGTGCAAATGCTGTCAAGTAGGATCTGACTCATAGCAACCCCTGCTTGGGTTTCCGAGGCAGTATCACTATGGAAGTAGATTGCCCAACCTTCCTTCCAAGGAGTGACTGGTGGGTTTAAACTGCCAGCCTTCTGGTAGCAGTCAAATGCCTTAGGCACTACACCACCAGAGCGCCTAAGAAATGACAAGGTAAAAGAGCTAAACAGAAGATTTCAAAGAGCAGCTCGAGCAGATAAAGCCAACTGCTACAATGAAATGTAAAAAGACCTGCAGTTAGAAAACCAAAAGGGAAGAAGACACTTGGCATTTCTCAAGCTGAAAGAACTGAGGAAAAAATTTACGCCTCCAGTTGCAATACTGAAAGATTTTATAGGCAAAATATTGAATGACGCAGGAAACAACTAAAGAAGATGGAAGAAATACAGAGTCACTGTACCAAAAAGAACTGGTCCATGTTCATCTATTTCAGGAGGTATCATATGATCAAGGACCAATGGTATTGAAAGAAGAAGTTGAACTTGCACTGAAGGAATTAGCACAGAACAAGGCTCCAGGAATTGACGGAATACCCATTGAGATGTTTCAACAAACAGACACCGCACTGGAGGCACTCATTAGATTATGCCAAGAGATTTGCAAGACAGCTACTTGGTCAAATGACTGGAAGAGATCCATATCTGTACCCATTCCAAAGAAAGCTGATCCCACAGAATGTGGATATTATCAAACAGTATCATTGATATCACACATAAGTAAAATCTTACTAAAGTTAATTAAAAAACTGTTGCAGCAGTATATTGACAGATAGCTTCCAGAAATGCAAGCTGGATTCAGAAGAGGACGTGGAACAAGGGACATCATTGCCGATGTGAGGTGTATCTTAGCTGAAAGCAAAGAATACCAGAAAGATGTCTACTTATGTTTTATCAACTATGCAAAAGTATTAGATTGTGTGGATCATAACAAATTATGGATAACATTGAGAAGAATGGGAATTCCAGAACATCTGATTGTACTCATGAGAAATCTGTACATAGAATAGGAGACTGTCATTCAAACAGAACAAGGGCATACTGCATGGTTCAATATCAAGAAAGGAGTGCATCAAGGTTGGATCCTTTCACCATACTTATTCAATCTGTATGTGGAGCAAATAATCCAAGAAGATAGATTATATGAAGAAAAACATGACATCAAGATTGGAGGGAGACTCATTAACAACCTGCAATATGCAGATGACACAATTTGCTTACTGAAAGTATGGATGACTTGAAGCACTTACTAATAAAGATTAAACACTGCAGTATGGATCACACCTTGATATAAAGAAACCAAAATTCTCACAACTGGTCCAATAAACAGCTTCCCGGTGGATGGAAAAAAGATTGAAGTTGTCAAGGTTTTTATATTACTTGGTTCTACAATCAACACAAATGGAAGCAGCAGTCACGATATTAGACAACATATTGCATTGGCCAAATCTGCTGCAAAACATCTCTTTCAAGTGATGAAGAGCAAAGATGTCTCCTTGAAGACTAAGGTGTGCCTAAACCAAGCCATGGTATTTTAAGTCGCCTCTTATGCATGTGAGAGCTGGACAATGAATAAGGATCACCGAAGAAGAGTTGATGCTTTTGAGTTGTGATGTTGGAGAAGAATACTAAGAGTACCATGGACTGCCAGAAGAACAAATCTGGCCTGGAGGAAGTGCAGCTGGAATGTTCCTTAGAAGCGAGAATGGCCAGACTTCATCTCACCTACTTTGGTCATGTTGTCAGAAGGAACCATTCCTTGGAGAAGGATATCATGCTTGGTAAAGTGGAGGGTTAATGAAGAAGGGGAAGGCCCTCAACGATATGGACAGATATGGTGGCTGCAACAATGGGCTCAGATATAGCAAGGATCATGAGGCTGGCACAAGACCGGGCAGTGTCTCGTTCTGCTCTGCATAAGGTCGGTATGAATTAGAGATGACTCGAAGGCACCTAACAACAACAACATCAATCAATACATTCTAGATTGAAAAAGCAACTAGAATTCTACCTTTCAAAAAAAATGGGTACTCTTAAGATTTCACATGTTATTCACTGAACCAGTATTTATTAGATACAGAGAATATGGCACCATCCCAGGTCTTGTAGGAGGTAAAAAGAGGTGAAAGATAACATTCTTTCTCTGGAGAATTTACACCTTATTGTTGGTCAAAATAAATAAGATCAGGCATGAAAAAGGTCAACAAGGATACCAGATGGATGGGTAAACAGGCTGAATGATGGCTTGTGTCAGGTATGTGTGGGTGAAAAGGAATATACGCATGACCATATATAAGGTTGGCAGATGTTATTTCTACATATGTATTTGCATGTGCTGTAAGAATGTCCAAATATATAATATAGCTAACAGGGCAAAGGTATGATAACTTCTTAGCCACAGGCAACCACCCTGAGGGAGCAAGGCTCAGGACCATGGTTGCAGAAGACATCAAGCTCAACTGCTACAATATGCTACACAAAAACATTGTTCTACATCCTACTTTGGTGAGTAGTGACTGGGGTCTTAAAAGCTTGGAAGAGGCCATCTAGATGCAACAATTGGTGTCTCCTCGTCTGGAGCAAAGAAGAATGAAGAAAACCAAAGACACACGGAAACAATTAGTCCAAGGGACCAGTAGACCATGCAAACCTCAGCCCATACGACCACAAGACCAAAAGAACTAGATGGTGCCCAGCTGCCACTGTCAACCACTCAGGAAGGGATCAAAATAGGAGATCCTGGATAAAATGGGAGAACAATGTGGAACAAAACCTAAAATGACCCTACCTACCCTTCAGGTCTGGAATTGAACTCACCCCAGTGACTTGCAGCCAAACAACAGACAGGCATATAAGGTGCATATTTACATCAGGTAAATGATCCTTAAAATGATCAGTCATGGGAGATCAGAAGGGCAGTATTTGCACAGGGAGATAACTCAGAGGGCAGGAATGTATAGTAAAGAAGGACACAGGGAAGAGGTGACAATGGGGAGGAAGTGGAAAGAGCTGTTACATTGCAGGGAATTGCAATCAATGTCATAAAAGAAAATGTGTATGAACTGCTATAAGGAAAATGAATTTTCTCTGTAAACTTTCACCCAAATCACAATAAAAATTTTTTAAATAAAATAATAAGGATACCAGATGATAAACTGTTAACTCTATGGTTAACTGCCACATACACATGTGGCAG